TATCACTGAAGGTGAGCTTTGGGGTATCAAGAGCAGATGCAGAACTCCTAGTTACAACTCCAGCACCATGTCTGCATGTGCTATTTTCTATACCATGATGACAACAGACTAAACCTCTGAAACTGTGAGCAAGCCCCAAGCCCCAATTAAATGCTTTTTTTGTTTGTTTGTATTTAAAAACTTTATAAATACATTTGTTATTTTTGTTTGTTCATTTTAGTTTTAAGTTGGATTCAAGACCATATATCCTGAACACTGATAATAATGAGGTTCAAAGATGTGTCTGTCTATACCAACTTTCTTTTTTTCATGAATAACTGTACAGGAAAATTGGTCTAATCTACTTTTAAGTTTTATGATGGCTTCTGTGATAAATTCTCAAAAAGCAATATTTTCTTAATTATTGATTACAATTCAAAATAGCACCCTCTTCCTGATGCCTGAAATTTATAAACTGAGGAATTACTTGGGTTGACACAAACTTACAGAGTGTATTATCTTGCACAGAGAATCAGGATGTGGAAAGGGTGGTAGAAATCTAATTCAGACAAAATCTAGTTACTTAGAACTTATATTACTACAATTTTTCTTTGTTCCTAAGAATTTCATACATATACACTATGAAATATTATCATATCCATCACCCATTTCTTTCCTTCAACTTCCTCCATATCTCCCTAACATTCCCACCTTAACTAATGTTTTCTTTAAAATTAGTTTTGTAACCGCTAAGTCAAATTAGTGCTTCCCATGTGTGCATAAGTATGCAACCACATAACTGGAACATGGGAAACCTACCAATAGGAACAACTTTGAAAAAGAATGATTCTCCTTCCCTCTCCCAGCAGCTATTTTTTCTTATAGTCAGGTAAGTAGTTATAGGGGGAAATTTTTCTCATCTTTACTTTTTCATGCCCATTAACAAAATAACCCCATGATCTAATAAGACTCAGGACATCTTGCCCTCTGGTTCCTAGAGTCACAGTTTTAAAGGCATGGAGGAAACCTGAATGATATTTTTAAAGCATCTATGGCATTGCTTAAATATAAAAATGACAAAGAAACAGTAAAAGGGAACATGGTAGAAGAGTATCCCTTCGACAAGAACTGAGTGTCAATTGATGATTGCACCCAAGTCACATTTTCAGTGTCTATTTTGGTTGATTCCTGAAGAGCCATTAGGCATTTACTTCCATGAAGTGAGAGCTCATTAATCTAGAGAAGAGAACTCAGCATCAACATCTGCACTTCAAATAAATTTCAGAAAGAAAACAGCATCAAAGCACACATACTGTCACCAGGTACATCTGGGAATTACAGTCTTAAGGGATATGTAATAATGATTTAATGAAGACTCTAGAATTTAATTTCTAGTGTAGTTTTATTACAATGAGATCTCTGGTTCAGTATAGAATAATTTCAAACAAGGAAATTCATCAACAATATTTGGTAAATTTCAATATAAATTACATTTTTAGATTATTTTGATCATAGTTAAATGAATTGCTAATGATTTCAAACGTACATACCAAGTTTTATGATGCTATCTTTCTTGAATTGTCAATTTATTTAACAGTATAAATTAACTTTAATTGTAATCATGATTAAGTGGGAGTAGTGACTCAACAGCCTAGACGTATTTGTTTTGACAAAGTTACAAGGAAGTGGTGGGCAGACTTTGGACACATTACCAATATCTTTCCCTGTTTTGCATATTTCACTTGTGTTTCTATTCCTTCCTTCCTACTTAAGGGTACATTGCATCACCACCTAAACAAATTCTGTGCATTTTTTCTGCATTATAAGGTGTTGGTTGTATCATCTAATTTACATTATCTACTGATATGGCAAAGCATAGAGCTGTGTAGAAGAATTAAAAACATATGCACCTAGGTTCAGGAAGCCTTGTCTTGTACTGCTGTTCTCCAGCTTGCTACACTATTATTCACTTGCAAATTGTCCAGGAATTGAAGTAGCTAAAAATATCCTGCCCTTTGGTGTAGTGGGTAGCTGCTCCAGCTTTGACCTGGAAGTACTACCCCCATTGAGGCTTCCAGTAACTGTCAGGCCTACGAGGCAGGGCAGAGAGAGGAGCCCTTAGGACCCAAGATCTAGATGTGCTGGCTCTCTTGGTTCCTGGATCCTGGACGCTGGATGTAGACCAAGCATAGTTCTCCAGAGAACACTGCTAGACTGCGCTACACCTTTCCTGTACCCTGTAACCTATCCCTTCACTAGTAAGTTACCCCACAAAATAAACCTCCCTTTTAACTACGTGGAGTTGTCTTAATACTTCAACCAATTCTATGGGAATATACTGTGTGATGCACGCAGTATTGGTACCAGAGTTGTGCTGTGTTGAATGGCAGAGTAAAGGTACCACAACATTTCAATTTAATTTTAAAGTTCAAGAAAGGTTGAGTGTTAGAGACAAATAAGGTTAGGTGAGGGCCTTAGTAGGCCTTACATCATATGCTGTATATAAAACAGATTTTATGAATTTTAAAAACTTGAAGGAGATGGATAATACAACTATATTTATTTGTTTAATGTATTAAATTAGTAACCCAAAATTCATTACTTACAATTAAATAACCAGATGTTTACAATTGGAAACTAACAAATAGAGGCTGTCAGTTCTCCCTCTAACTTGATAACAGCAGTTCATGAAGGGCCAATTGTGCCTAGTGTATCTGTAACAATTCTATGTTCAGAGAAGAAAGATAAGAATGGAAAATGGAAAAAAAAAATTGTCCAGCACTGAGAATTAGAGGCTTCAATTACATTGATTTTGGATCATTCCCTCTACACATAAATATTACACTAAACAGAATAAAACTAAATTAGTATAAGACATATATTTATATTATGATTTAATATAATATGTACAGATATATTTTAAGTTTGTTTAATGTGGAATTAAAATTGATAATTAACATTTTGATGGTCCATCAGAAACTAAAAAGAACAGACTAGAAAGCTCCATAAAAACTGTCAAAATTTTAAAATTCTAGATTGAATAAAGCAGTAACCAACACTACCAGGAAAGCCTTTCACAAAATTTACAAACCCTAGACATTGCCTAGCCTTCCTCATTTTACTATTTGTGTTCTCCCAATGGTTTTAAGTATTTGAAGTCTAAAATTTGTGTGTGTGTGCATGCACATGCACACTGCTTCTGGGAACAAACAAGTGCACATTCATGGGTGATTCCCCCAAAGGGTCACTAAATCGTCTCCATCAGAGTGTTAATCCTCAATGTTGATTGTTCAGAGCCATGTTTATTTAGAACAGAAAACTACCCAGCTTTACAAAGTTAAAAATTCTGAGGACTGTTATCCACAATTTCTCACTAGTCAATGGCTGCTTTTTAAGCTTCTTGGAAAGTAACAATGCTGTATGTAAGTAGAACGATATTTTCCTCCCTCCCGTGTAATTAGAATAATATTAAAATGATGGCTAAATTTAATAATTATAGCAAAGTTCTGCTGTACAGTTATCTGGTCAAATTAAAGAATAAAAGATATCAGAAAGACTTTGAAAGGGTATAGTTTTTTACCTCTTACAGTTATGGACTCTAAAACAAACAAGGGAACAAAGGTAAGAGGCTTTCTGTACTTAAAGGCAATTTAAGTACCTGTAAATCCAGCTAAACTAATTCGTTTTAATTCTTCCACTAATATTCAGTCCCCCACGAAAGTCAATGCAATCCAATTCTAAAATACAGAAACATATAGGCAAGGATGGGATTTACTTACTTATTAGATTGGGAAATTCTGAATTTCAAGAGGATGGAATTTATTTTTAGACATAAATGCTAAATGCTGTGTCAGTAACTCTGAGCTGAAATGCTTGGATAAGAAGTGCTTCAAATTTGAGAGATTCTTAGATTTTTAGAACATTTATACAGACTGGCAGATTCTTACACTTTTAGAAAATTTGCATAGACTTAACCTGTTGAGTACCTTTACTCTGAAAATCAGAAATCTCAAGTCTGATGAAATCTAGAACTATCTGCGTGCCATGCCTGCTTCTGGACTTTCAGATGATCAATGTCCTACCTACTTTAAACAACATATTAAATACATTTTTATAAGGTTTTAAGTAGCAAGATATTGAAAAGCAATGTACACTCAAGAAACTTTAAAATACTTTTCTCTGGTAGTAGCTTCCCTCATTAGTCTGTTCTCCATTGAACCACAAATATATTAACTATGGGACTAAATTTTCTCATGTTCCAACACAGTATGTAAAAAGAAAGAGATGAAACAGCAGCAATCATACTAAAAGGCATCTCACTAAAGTTTTACTTTTAACATATAAACAAAACGTATGCAGTATATGCAAAATCGAAGAGGTATATCCTCTCCAAAGAGTATTTATTATGAAGTTAAATATAATGATAAATATAACTTAAATGTATTTATATTACACCCCTGCCTGAAATATTAAATTTTCACTATATAGATAACTTTGTAATATAGGTTCTGCTTAAAAAATATTTTTTTAAAGCTGTGAGAAACTCTCGGAAAAGAATAAAAGCTGTGGAGAAACAAGAGTCTGCTCAAGGGTTATACCCTTCCTACAATTGACATCTATCTTTACTTTATTGTTCTAATAATGCTAAGAAGTGTTGACCTTAAACACCTACCACTTGAGAAGAAAAATGTGAACGGACAACATCAAGGAAAAGAGAACCACCTGCTATGCTACTACAGCCAATTAAAAGGATTTAATTCATTTTAATCTGATAAAATTGATTTTTAAAATAGAGTATATTTAAAGCTAAATACATGCCTTCTCTAAAGCTAATTATACTTACTTAAAATTTATTGTCTCACAAGTTGCATAATTATGTTATAAATTTTGAAACTCTAATATAGAAAGCGAACGTATTCAATAAAGTTGTAAAAAAGTCACCCAGCTTTACTCTAGTCAGTTATCAAGCAGAAGAAAGCAAATAGCAAAGACTTCCTCATGTCTATTTATAAGTAGCTCACCTGGTTAGCAATCTGCCGAGCGAGAATATCCATCCTTGATCCTGACTCTGATATCATCTTAGCTGCATAGATTACATCAGTGGTATGCTTTAGTGGTCCTTTTCCCCTGAAAATAAATGATACATATTAGTTTTCATGGTTCCTATATAAATAGACATAATGAATATACACATGCCAATAGATACACATTTTATTTTATTTATTTTTATTTTCATTTTTAAGGTGTGTGTGTGTGTGTGTGTGTGTGTGTGTGTGTGTGTGTGTGTGTGTGTGTGTGTAGCGGTCTGTAGAGACCAAAAGAGGGCATTGATTGGTTACCCTAGATCTGCAGTTACATAGGAGTTACATGGGGGTTAGGCATCCCCATGAGATCTGAGAACTAAACTTTGGTCCTCTACAAGAGTGCAAGAATGCCTTAACAACTGCGTCACTTCTTCAGCCCTGATGTACATTTATACTCACATATATAAAAGATTTACAACCCCAAGCAGTAGCAATTATACTTATATGGTTTGTTGTTGGATGAGCACAAAGTGTTATTTAATTATAGTCTTAAAAATTAAAATTAAAGTCTATGGTATTGCCCAGCAGTGGTGGCACATGCCTTTAATCCCAGCACTCGGGAGGCAGAGCCAGGCAGATCTCTGTGAGTTCAAGGCCAGCCTAGTCTACAGAGCAAGATCCAGGACAGGAACCAAAACTACACAGAGAAACCCTGTCTCAAAAAACAAAACAAAACAAATCTATGGTACCAAAATTCAGACAATAATATAAAGAAGATGAATAGCATTGGGCTTTATTCCAATTTTTTATTATAATAAGACTCAGTTTAGAGATATGTTGGTAGACCCAGGTATCTAATGCAATGATCATTTATAACCAGGATATACATTCAACCTTGCATTGTGAGAAGCCAGGCTACTTATGATTTTTCTCTTTTAATCCATCTTGTACATTTTTTCAGCTAATTGCACAATATTTTCTATCACATAATCTCTCCTCTGTAATTAATTCAAATATAGATCTGAGCCTGAGAAACGTGTAATGTAGGACTTTTAGTATTGCAGTATAAATTAAAATTTCTTCTCTCTGTGGACCCCACAGCGTTCTGGTGCAGCTTTAAAGAACAGAAACCCTGAGTCTAACCAAAGTGACTCCGTTTATTCCAACAGCTCTTCAAAGGAAAATACTGTCAGTTTTGCTGCAGTGAATCCAGTGATATTTTTTCCCCAGACCAAAATGAGTTTGAGCCTGAGAACAGTTCATCAGGAATTCTGAAAAGGTGTTTCTCTCAAATGATAATCCATCCTTTCTTGTTTTCAATAAAGGTATATTATAAAATCAATTGTTGCACAAAGGCCACGCTGTACACCCATCTTCATCAGTAAGAGAAAATGCCAGCCACCAAGTAGCATCCTGGCAGCCTCTGTAAAGCTTCTCATCTTTTCCTCTCAGCTGTCCACTCATGAGTTCTATCACTTCTTTCATATTATAAGCTGAGCACAAGAGAAAGATGGAACTAGGGTAGGGAAGGAGTATGTGGTTCCAACCTAAGAGCATCCTAGGGAGTGAGTGGGTCTTGAGAACACCATTTGTGCATTCATGCCATATAGTTTTTTATTTCCTCTTGTTTTTCTCTAAATCTACTTTTTTTATGCTTTTATGCTTTTTCTCCTCCTGGGGTAAGACAAAACAAAAATAAGTAGTATATCACAGTTTTTGAGTACAAATCTGTATTTACATATTTTGGACTATTTCCAAAAAGAAAAAAAAAAACAGCAAAAAAACAAAACAAAAAAATACCCACTCCCTACAGTTTGTAACCAATCTGTGCCTCCCTGTCTTCTGGGATGAGGCTAGCATTCAACCACAGAGACTTTCCAAGGATTACCTGAGTTTATTTCTCCATCATGCCCTAAACATCATCTTAAATAAAGTATGAATTGTAAAATAAAATGTGTTACAATTTTAATATAACTATGGCTCATGATAGATTTGTATAAAAATAAGATCACTGTCATGATCACACAGGGTAAGTAGATAAGAATGATGATTTCTGCAGGATTCCATTTCTTTCTTTAGTAAGTGTTGAGTTTGATCCAGGAGGAGGTGGAGGAAAACAGATACTTGTCTGTGAATATTACTTTAAAGGGAATCAGACACCTCCAAATCTCTGTTGTTTTACTAGCCACATGAGGTCTGTACACCTAGACTAGGATTTGAAAGAGAGATGTTTCTCTATTTCCTGTTTTCTGAAAAAAATAAACAGAGGAAAGGTTACCTGAGCAGAGGTAGCTGTCCCATCCATCTATAACTCCTCATTCATTTCCCAACCTCCACCGAGCACTAGGACACAGACTTTAGATTCTGGTCTTTGTCCTTGGAAGATAATGAGCCCTCAAGGTGTGATTCACAAAAGCAATAAATCCATGATGCTTTAGGAGAAGGGGGGGGCAGTAATGAGCAGTGTGAGGGTTAACAATAAGATCGGAAGGTCAAGAAGAGAAAGGTTTTGATTAGGCAAGTCAGGATGGAGATAAAGTGAGAGAGTGTATCTTTATCTATGTCTTAGTTACACTTTAGCTTGAATGTAACAGTAGAAACAAAAGTGTAAAATATGGCAGAGATGCGGAGAAATATATTTGCGCACTCAGAAGATGTTCTAGCTAGCTTTGTGTCCTAGGGTCCTCTGTGAAAAAGGAACTCCAGTTGAGAAAATATCTCTATCAAATTGGCCTGTAGGCAAGTCTATAGAGTCCATTATTGGATAATGATTGGTAAGAGAGGGCCCAGCCCTCCGTAGGTGGTGCCATCCCTAGGCAGGTGGTTTTGGCTTGTATAAGAAAGCAAACTGAGCAAGCTGTGCGAGCCTTCCTGCTTGGTCTATGCTGCAGTTCCTGCGTCCAGGCTCCTACTTTTCTTGTGTTCCTGCCTTGGCTGCCCTCAAGATGTACTGTGATTGGGAAGTGTAAGCCAAATACCTCTCCAGGTTTCTTTTGATTATGGTTTTTATCACAGAAATAAAACACAAATTAATACAGAAGAATATTTCTATACAGTGATTAAAAAACAGAGTGGTTTCACACTCTGATAAGTAATCCAAGACTCCTGCATCTGTAAACTGAACACCACAATGTATGTCTCCTGTGTACATAATCCAAAGGCCTTTTCATTCCCTCCCCCAATTCATAGTGGCTCTCAAAACTATTATAAGCAAGATTTCTTCTAAAAATGAACCAGGAAAAACTAAAAAATATCAGTACATGTAACAAGATGAAAAGCTGGCCTCAGAAATGGCTATCACCACATGCCTTAACTGCTGACATAGGTTTCTTTGCAACTTTAGAGAAAAATCAACATTAATTGTTACAATATTTGAATTGCTCTTATCAAATTTGCTTTATGCATCAGGGAGGACTGGAAGTTATGTACATGGTTATGTTCAAGTAAGGAATTGCATTTCATTATCTCTATGCCTCTCCAGAGAAAGTTAAACTTAAATAAAGCTGTCTAAGCTCCCAAAAGACAATACATCAATTTTCAAGGTCTTAAACAATGGACAAAGGTTGTTTCTAAGCAGAGCAGCCAAGGCTCTTGCAGCTAAAACAATACACAAAGAGTTATATCTACAGATGGATCTTATCTGCAAAATAAGATATGCCCCTGTATGAAAGCCCTGGGCTAATAAAGGAGAAATTACTTCTAGCTCCAAATATAAACCTTGTTGTGAGACCATGATCTTAAAAGTCACAACAAGTTTTGGTATACCTTCAAGTAATGATAATACATGATGACAGACCATGACGACTCCCTTCCCCTCATTCTTAATTAGATGTATTGCCTGGCAAGCTTCCGTCTGAGTGCCAAAGGTTTTAGGTGCCAACACACATTTTACAAATGATTCCTTATCATGCCATGCTTCCAGACCAAGCTACAAGCAACTGCAACAATGACAAATTCTGAACATTCTCAGCCTGAAACATGCTACGCAATGAAGGCTTTTCGAATTGGGGGATGCAGCTAGAGGTTGTCTGCAGCCTTCATCTTTGTAATGCAATCCTTGTGGTTTCTTGTCAGCAAATTGCGCCTTAAATCACGGTTAGATCCTACAAAGAAAGACACCCAGAATAAGAGTGGGGAGAGAGTGAAATATCTGGAGATATTTTAAAGACACCAGAGGCCAGAAATTTTTTTTTAATACAAAGTGATCAAAATAATTACCTACAACGCAACATGGAAGGCTTTGAGGAAGAGGGCTTCCTTCTTGCTTGTTTTTCTCCCACAATGTATACATTTAAAGAACATCTTGTTATATACAATTCATCTGTCAAAAATTTAAAAATAGGTGCTGTTGTACATGTATGAAGACCTCAGTATGAGTCAGCAGAACCACATAAAGCTAGGCCTGTATAAATCCAAGCACATCTGTGGAGAAATGAGAAGCTGACATTGGAGCATCATCACAAACCCAGGGCCAGCTAGCATGTAGCCAATGTTAGCGAACAAGAGAGTCCCTGTCCCAGACAGAGGGGATGGAGAAAGCTGACACCAGCATTACCACCATACATGTGCTGTGGCATATGATTACCTACAACTCAAACACAAGAATGCTCTCATAAAGACACACACACACATGCACATGCACACATCCTCCTTCATGGATACATACATATATCCCAACATGTATAAAATTAAAAGTTTTAAATCATATGACAGAAGATATAATGAGAAAAACTTAGTGAAATGTAGATAACATAGATTTTATCATATTTAGGTGAGTGAAAAATTTCTTTGAAAAGTCAAATTATTAGTTCAATAAACACATTCTGTCCATTTCTAACATTATTATGTACTTAACTCATCACATTTTTTTGTATAGAGGCCTCTTCTTTATTTCTCTTTGGTTTCAATAAACAACATAAAAACTATGAGCCATAGAGTTCCACTTATCAGGGTTCTGGCTTAATAAAAATAGTATTGAATCATTTCATTTTCTGCTGTCAGAGAAAAAGTATATCATTGAAATGATTTGGTATTTTGTATTACCAAATAAACACAAAATAAAAAAACTTAAGTATAATGTTTACATTTTGCAGCCTCTATGTC